CACACACACACACACACACACACACACACACACACACACACACACCTTTGGGATTTATGTCCTCAATCTGTCTTTCCCTGCAGTTCCTTCCCTGGCGGCCGGAGAAGACCCCACTAACACCCTTAGCCACGGATACCCCAACTGGACGCCTCCCTGCCCTGTGCCCCAACCCCCTTTCTCCTTAGCCCTGGGAGTAGCTAAGTGGGGCAAGCCCACGGCCAGGGCTGGCTGGTAGAGGGAGGCACAGACAGCCCCATACACCCCATCCCTGGCTCAAAGCCCCCTCCTCAAAGGGACTGGGCTGTGGGAGGAGGTATGATAGCCCTCCTCTCCCCAGTCCCTGGGCTCAGGCCCCCTATCAGAACTGGTGACACTAACTTGACATTGGTTGATTTGAAATAAAAGGAAACACTTTATTTTACCATCAACTGTGTTTCTTACGTCTCCTCTGAGCTTGGGATTTGGGGGATGGGGAGTGGGTGAAGCCAGCTGCCCCTGGACGACCTCACTCCACACCTCCTTGTCTACAGGAGTTCTGTTTAGGCGCTCACGGTCTTGTTCTTGAAAATAATCATCCTGCTTTTGCCTCTTTCTAAAATTCATGCCGTGACCTGACACAGAAAGAGACAGACCTCCCTGGAACAGATTAGAGTCCAGGAATAGATCTAAGTGTGCGTATATAATATGTATGTCTGCGTGTGTGTCTATATATAGTGATTGGGTTAGGCTGGGTTAACTAGAGGAACAAATCCAGAGACACTCATATATGTCTAAGAAAGAGCTTTATATCAACGAGTAATTGTATACTGAGAAAATGTCCCAACCTGGTCCAGATCAAGTCCATAAATCCAGTATTAGCTCATAAGTCCCATACTAGTCCATAATCCCTCTTCAGACTCATGCAATGTTGCAAAATGCAGCAAGATCATGGGCTGGTGGGTGCAAAGTCTTGCAGATTGAATGGTGGCGGAAACATTTCAGCTCTGGCTCCGGTCTCCGCGTGGCGTCTCCTGCTCTCTGAGTGTGGACGCTTCAACAGAGGGTGAAGCAGAGAGAGGGACTCTCGCAAGTCTCAGCAAGTCTCCGCATGGCTGGTCAACAGGAAGACAAAGGCAGAGAGAGGCCAGCCTCCAGAGAACCATTCATCTTGTTAGCCCTCCAAGCCGCAACCTGATTGACAGGCTAAGCCCCGCCCCCTTCACTCTTAATACCGGCAAGTTGACACGAGATGATGTAACCACCACAGCGATTGTAAGTCAATGACGAAGACCTTTGGCTCTTTGGTTTGGAAGCAGCCCTGGCCTCGTTAGTACCCACCCACCCTCATCCCCTCCAATCTGGAAGCAGACATCCTATTACTCAAACCTAAATTGGCTTCAGAGTGGTGGCAGCCCCGTGGGTTAGCGTAGAACTTCTCCATGGGCTGTTCTTGTACAAGTCGGGTTCCAGGACTTTCTTCCACAGTGCTGCTGATGGGTCCAGCCTGGGGACTTGCTGGGTGGTTCTTGTCCAGTGTCACGGAGTGACCCTGCGTGAAACGGAAGGAAACACTGCCCGGCCCAGCACCATCCTCCCTATTGTTGTCTGAGCCTAAGGCTGCAGCCGCCGTGTCCACCCCTCTCAGAAAGGGCCTTCCTCTGTTTCACTGCCCCTCCGCTTTACCAAGCATGACGTCCTTCTCCAGGGACTGGTCACTCCTGATAGCATCCAAAGTACGTGATTTGAAGTCCTTCCATCCTGGCCTCTCAGGAGCGCTCTGCCTGCACTTCTTCCAAGACAGCCCTGTTTGTTCCTTTGGTTGCCCGTCCATGATACTTTTGATATTTTTTGCCAGCACCGCAATTCCAAGGCACCTATTATTGGTTTTCCTTGTTCGAGGTCCAACGTTCACGAGCACGTGAGGCGCTGAAAGACAAGTGCCCCCGGGGGTTTCTGAGACTAACTTCAGGGGAGTAGAAAGCTTCACCTTTCTCCTGCAGCATGGTCTTGAACTGCCGACCTTGTGGTCAGTGGTCCAATAGGGAACCGCAACACCATCAGCGGATCCTCAAGTGCAAGAAGTGAAAATAGTCTCACCCATGTTCAAAGTATGCTTTGTCTTATAAAAAGGAGAATGCTCTCAATCCAATGCCTGGTGGTGCTGTGAAGTACACATTGGGCTGCTAGCCACGAGGTCGTCGGTTCAGAGTCAGCAGCCGCTCTGTGGGAGAAAGATGAGGCTATCTGTTCCCGTCAAGATGATCTGTCTCATTAACCGTAGGGAGTGAGGGAAGGTAACTGCTAGAAGCCTTTTTGGAAAAAAGAACCTGGTCTCACTCCCTCACTGCCACCGAGTCCATGCCAGCTCCTGGCGACCCTATAGGACAGGTTAGAACTCCGCTGGTGAGTTTCCGAGATGATAACTCTTTACGGGAGTAGAAAGCCCTCTCTTTCTCCTGAGGAGCTGCTGGTGGTTTCGAACTGCTGATCTTGCCTCATCTGTAACTGTTATGCCACCAGGGCTCCTTGGAAGACCTGGTCATACCCAGAAAAACTAAAATTCTATACCCTTTGACCCGACAACCTACCC